GATTTGTTCTAATGGTGTTTGTAAATAGGATATCATGTCTGAATATTGTACAGCAATTAACCACTAGGAAGAATGTATGCAATGTGTTAATTATTGAAAGTTTCCTACCAATTTGCTTTGAAAAAAAAATAAAATAAATACATAAATACATAACAGGCTGATACTGCCACTTCTTAAATTTCTTTAAAACATTTAGTAACTATTCACTTCTGGATGTAAGGATGGAAGAACTAGAGAATTCTCTCTCTCTCTCTCTCTCTCTCTCTCTCTCTCTCTCTCTCTCTCTCTGTCTCCCTTCTTTTCTGTCTCTTTCTCTCCTTCACCTTCTCTCTCCTTCCTTATCTATCCATCCAACACAAAATAGCTTTTATATTTAAAACCACTAAATATTCATACTACTGGAACTCCGTATGATTCAAAGACTCAAAGTTGAAGACTGGTGACATAGCTCAGTAGCATATTGCTGTCTTAGTGTGTGTAAGGCCCTAAATTCAATCCTCTACACTACCAAAAAATGACAGGTTAAACAAAATCAAAGTTACATTAACACGGACAAAGGATCTACAATCTTCAATATGGGGTTTCAGGATAAATCCTGAGGGGATTTGACTGACCTTTTCAGATACAAAAGATACATTTCTTGTTATATTCTTCTTGCTTTATCTTGGTCTTAACCATCCAGCAGAAAAGTATAAAAAGGAAGTATAAAAAGTAAAGCCATATTGATATGCTGAGCTATAAAAGGCTTAAGTCAAGAACTTCTGACATTGCCAGTCTTACAGAAATCCCACTACTATTATGGAGTGCTGGACTATTTTGGAATATTTTGCTGAATTCACATGTCTACAATATTTAAATGGCAATGGAACACCCATTTCTGACGAAACGAACCAAAAAACGGAGATACAAATGAACGACCATTTGGTATCTGTATATTCAAAATACTTAGGATAGATGTGCAACCATATTATCTTAATTCAGTGAATAGAAAGATTTGTTCTAATGGTGTTTATGGACAAAATATCATGTCTGCATCTTGGGCAATGAATAACCCTAAGACAACAATATGCAATGTATTAATTATTAAAACTGTCCTACTAATCACTTTTGGAACTGTCTCATTGCTATTTGTTTCTTAATATAGTTATTTTTTTAAAAATCAAAGTTAGGCTGTGTAGTATGCCACGCTCACCTGAACCTTTACTTTTGCTTTTAGTTTCTGAGTTAATGTCTCACTAATGTAGTTCAGACTTTGGACTCACCATGTACCCAGACTGGTCTTGAACTTGAGACATCCTCCTGTCTCAGCCTCCCAAGTGCTGAGGTTACGGGCATGCCCCACCATGCCAGAACAGATTTCTATTTTCTATGGAACTGATCAATTGTCTGCTCTCTATATTTATTTTACTTTTCTCTATCCATATTACTAATTCATTCCCAAACACTGTGATAGAATTACCAATCTCTGAGTTGTTCGAACAACCGTTTTCCTGTTCTGTTCCTCACTGTTTATTTTCAGGTCACCCGATACTTACAACGCACGACCCCCACGCGTCACTCCAGGAGCTCTCTTCCTCTCTCTTCTCGTCTTTCTCTCTTTGTGTTTTTCCTTTCCTAGAAACA